GACCGTTACACCTTCTCCCTGAAATTATTGTCAGTGGAGTGGACAGTGTGCTCAGAAATTTACTTGGGCTTTGGTTACACAACCACGCAGTGCCACCAAACCTTGTGTTGTCAATTGTAGGAGTTTTTCCAAAGTTCTGGGCTCCTATCCCCTGACTGCCAGAAAACATGTTGGGGTATAGCAGTGCCTCCGGAATGCAGATAGCAATATCTTTCCATGTGTAAGTATTTTGGCATATAGTCCCCAACACCATAAGGTAGCATGCCCCTTCCATACAACAGAGCAGTTTTGTTGTGCCTGCTGCTACACTCAGCTCTAAGCCTATGCATAGTCGTGAGCTTAGATGCTGCATGCTCATGGGATCCTCTTGCTCCAGTCCCCAGCAGGCACAAAAGTTTTTCCAAAGACTCAGGTATGTTACATATTTTCAAGAGGTTTATCGTTTATATCAGTTTCTTTGTGCAGATCTATAAGTGTTGCAAGAAAAGACATAAGGTTACCAGCAAAACAACGCCCTCTGCTTAGACCATTTGTGTGGTACAGTATTTCTTTCCCCTCTCAAAATCTCTATGTACCAAAGTGTGTTTAGCTACAGGTTTTTCTTTCTCATCAGTAAAGTATGCTGTATCAAGCTCTATTTTGAGACTGTGGGAAGGAATGGGTTCCCAATGGAAACATATTTCCCTCCTTCCTTGAGGCATTCCTCACTTCTTCCCTCAGGTGGTCCATTAGTATACCCAGGGCTCGACAAATCAGTGAATCTACTCGCTTGTGGCGAGTAGATTTCAGCCGGTTGCCCCGTTCACCAGCGGCGCGTGTATGCGCAGTGCGGGTCTTGCGCATGCGCAGTGCAGGGCTGGCGAGTAGATTTTGCCACGGTTTGTCAAGCCCTGAGCATACCCACATTCATCTACAGACTTCCAGAGATTTCCACCTTCCTGTCTCAAAGCAAGTGTCAATTCAGTGTCTGACACTACTGGGTTTTGAATCTGTGGGGTTTCTATTGAACGCCCAGGTTCTGCTTCCAAGAAGCCAATTGCAGTCACGCCCCGCTGGGAGTCCAGACTCACCATTCTCCCTTGAGGCATGAATGACAGTCAGGCAGCTTGGCTACGTCTACACTGGCATGATTTTCTGGAAATGCTTTTAACGGAAAAGTTTTCCGTTAAAAGCATTTTCGGAAAAGCGTGTCTAGATTGGCAGGACGCTTTTCCGCAAAAGCACTTTTTGCGGAAAAGTGTCCATGGCCAATCTAGACGTGCTTTTCCGCAAAAAAGCCCTGATCACCATTTTCGTGATCGGGGCTTTTTTGCAGAAAACAAATCTCTGCTGTCTACACTGGCCCTTTTGTGCAAAAGTTTTTCGGAAAAAGACTTTTGCCCGAATGGGAGCAGCATAGTAGTTCCTCAAAAGCAGTGACAATCTTACATGAGATCGTCAGTGCTTTTGCAGAAATTCAAGTGGCCAGTGTAGACAGCTGGCAAGTTTTTCCGCAAAAGCAGATGATTTTGCGGAAAAACTTGCCAGTCTAGACACAGCCCTTGGGCTTATAGATACCCAACATCCATCTCCCGTCTCCTCCTGTCAAAGATGGAGAAACAATCTTGTTCCCCTTTCTCTGGGCCACCTGTCAGCACACAGCTCCCAGCCAGGACAGGCCCTTCCTTGGAAAGACCTGCAGTCTTTCCTTTTTTCTATTGGGTAAACCCTCAGCCATCAGGCCCCTGGATTCCTCAGTTCCCATAGTAGCTTCTTGGTCTCCAGCCCGTCTTAAGGCTCTGCTCCAAGTCACACACTCTTGTGTCTCTGGAGGCTGGCCATGCCCTCTGCTGTTTCCCGTATTCCTCCTGGACAAAACACAGCTTGGACAGACCCACTGACACTAGGCAACCACTCAGGGTCAGGGCTGGCTTCCTCTGCCCCTCCTACATGTTGCAAATTGTCCAATTCGGTAGGAGGAGAATCAAAGAGACAATCTCTGTTCCCCTCCACAGCCTCTGTGACATCGCTTTCCCTTCTGGGATTTCAGCACAGGATTCCGTCTCTCTGCTCACAATCCCTGGGATAAACTCAGTCGCATCAAAAAGTCATTTCCCCAAAATGAATGGCACAAAACTCTCAGGTAGAGCAGCATCTGTACCTGTAACCTGGTCCAAGGCACAATGATCTTATGGCCACCAGCCAATTCTAATTCAGCCATGACCCCACAGACGATATCTTGCTTTTTAAGCAAATCGCTCTGTCCCGTGTCTCTCTAGGCAGGAATGTCCTGGCCATTCAAACTGACATTTAATTTGTTTACTGCCTGGCTTGGAATAGCCATCTTTACAAACCCTGTGTGAAAAGTAACCACTGCTTAGACTTAAAAGGACAAAGGAGGCTGTTTATAAGTGGTTACCAGCACAGGAAACACCCTTGATGGCTTTCATTTGCCCATTTAAAACCATAATCAATTTTCTGCCCCGTATCTCTAACTTTACATTCAAGAGCGATATATACACCAAAATAGGATGTGCAGAGCCAGCAGATTAAGACATTAAAATTGGTATTGTCCAAAGTATTTTTGAACTAGGCATATTTGCCAGTGTTCTGCCTGCCAGCTACGTCGTGTCCTGCCACTGCCCAGCCTGCTACCCTTCTATGCAGCCAGCTAGTGCCCTGCCTGCTGCCCTGCCAACCAATCATGCGCTACCTGCTAGACACTGTCCAGCCAGCCATCTACCAGCTAGCTAGTGACTTGCCTACCACCCTGCTGGTCAGTGGCACCTTTAAGGTGAGGTGTCCCCCCCTCTTCTCTCAAGGCATTGCAGTGTTTCACCGCCTGGAGGAGCCAGAAGCCATAATCTTCGGAGAGGCCCCAAGGAGTTCTGTTTCCTCCCTCACCTACTGCAGCATCCCAGCCTCGGATCTTCAGCATTTGTTAAGAAACAAGCCGAGCCAGAGCCAGTCGATGATCTCTCCTTAACACTGTGGCGCATGCCATGGTTTTTTAATCCAAGGCTCTATGTGCTTTATTAAGTGTGCAATTAAACTCCCAGCAACAGTGCATCCAGAGCAACTTTCTGTCCAGAATTCAGGACCAGGCTGGGGGAGGAGCTAGGTTTTTATTTACACTGGATCTGCCCTTTCTCTAGTCCTGGGGAAACGTGATGCACTGACAGCCTAGGACAGTTACAGCCTCACTGCCTCCACAGAGCAGGGACCAGAGGCAGAACCAGCTTTGCCCACACACCTGCCATGGAATGTGCCACAGGCCTGAATTGGGGGACCACTTCGGGGGGAGGAGGAGGCTGAGTCTCTGTTCTCAGTCAAGGCTGGGTGAAGTTGTAGGAGATACAGACCTGTGTCTTGGGCATCTGCTCCAGGAATCATGTGAGTGTATTGCACTCACAGACTTCATTTGAAAATAAAGCGTCTTTCTACCTCTCATGGTAGGTAACAAATGTGTGAAAACATGACCGAGTGTGGCTGGAACCATCAAACTTTTTAACCTGCGACAAACCCCACTCAATACAGACCTTTCAGACAACTAGTCATGATAACAAAATAGGTGCAGGAGGAGGTGGAGGTACAGGGTCTGGCTGGGAAATAGGGTGCAGGAATGGACTGAGGGTAAGGGGTCTGGGAGGGAGGCAGGAGCGCAGTGGGGGGCCTGGGTGGGAGGTGGAGTGCAGGAACAGGCTGAAGGCTGGGGAGCTGGGTAGGAGGTGAGGTGCAGGAGCAGGCTGGGGTGGGAGATCTGGAGTGTAGGAATGTGGTGGAGAGCAAGATCTCTGTGGGAGGAATGTGTGCGAGGGGGATAGGGTGAGTGGTCTGGGCATGAAGGGGATAAGTGGAGCTTACCTGGCTCCATGCCTGCTGCCACTCCCAGATACTGCCCCGTGCTGCTATCACTGGTTGTAATTCCTCCAGTGGGAAAAGCCTCCAGGTGAGTGGTTTCCTAAACTGCCTTTCCCCGAGCCAGGGGAAGGGGAAACAGCAGCGCATGGAGCCACTTCCTCCCACCACAAGCCAGATCTGGTCCATGAGACTTGCCCCCTGCCAGGCACCATGAAGCTGGTGCCGGTGCTGCAGCTTCACGGGGGGTGGAGGTGAGGAGAGAACGTGGGGCTGAAGCCCCAGCACAGGATCCCCACTGCAAGTGGGAGCAAGACCCACACCTGTCGCCCACCTGCAAGACAGTCGCAGATCACTAATGGTCCACAGCCCACACTTTGAGAACCACTGGTCTACAGCCAACCTGAAATAATAGTTCTGAGAGGGGTGAATTGCTCCATGCGTCTCAGTGCAATATTAGCTCTTAATGTGGCAATGCCCTTCCCCCACCAGCTACCTAAACAGATAATCCCCAGCTGTCAGGGCAAATTTGGAGAACCCCCCATGATGGAAGACACAACTGTTGCTCCTGGGGGGGATAAAGTGCCCATTGCCATGGCACCTGTCTTTCTGGCAGGGGGCTCCTGTCACTTTGGTGTGAGGCTGTCAAGGCCCTGTGTCATGGTTTGCCTAAGGCCCTGATGTACCTTAATCTGGGCATGTTACCAGGCAGTTCTTCGCTTCTGTACCAAGACTGCTAACAAGGGGAACATTAGATTTGATGGAGCATTTTGCAATAGGACAGGAGGTGGGAATACAAGAGTGGATGGCCCAGTGGGTGGAGCAGTAATGGCAGAAGGCAGGACACCCAATAAGCAATTGAGTAAAGCAGACAGTGCCACAGGGACTTGGTAGAGCCATGATTTCACTGCCCTGGCAGGAGGTGAGATCCACAGCCGGGATCTCGTACAGCAAGATGCAGGCTGTGGCTGGAAAAGGGTCAGACCCAGTAGGGCAATGCTTACACTGCTCTTACTGTGATGTCCTTGTAAACGCCCATTGTAAATTCCTAAAAGATGCTTCACCTTAGTGCACTGCCCATGAAAAGATCTGATCTGACTCCCAAACTCAACTACAGTCCCACGGTGAGTGATGGAAACATCCCTGCAGATATACTTACTTACCAACAACAGATTGAAATGAGACTTCTTGCGTTCAAGCTCAATGGGGGGCATCTGGGAAAAGAAACAAAAGCCAAGGTTATTGCCTTCCATGGGCTTTCCCTGTTCTGACCTTTAACCTTGACACTGTGTGTTCTGTAGAGACAACTGCATACTCCAATGAGAACTTGCTCAAGAGATCAGTGATGGTCATAAAGGGCACCGAAGTGAAGACTGGACAATCAGCACTGCCTGAAAAATGAAGGTTCCCTTGATCCTCACAGCTAACAGATGTCTAATTGTTTGGCTCAGCTATCATATTCACTGTTGTCCTGGCCTGCAGCTTCTTTTCCATATGCCACATGGTTTCTTCTTCCTCATATGGCCAGGGCAGCAGGTTGTATGGGACTGTGGTGCCTGGGCAACAGGAATATTTCTGGCCCAGAACCCGGGTCCTCAAAGTTTGGGGCCAGGTCTCTCCCCCAATCCCACCTGCCATCCCTGCACACAGCTCCTCAGTGCATCCCCTGGCCTGCCTGCAGCTCTCAGGCAATTTCAAATGGTCCAGATGTCCCTACTGCCACCACCGGCAGTGCAGCCAGGCTAGAGCAGCTTCCTGCCTGTTCTGGCTCCATTCTGAGGCATCCAATGGAAGCTGTACGGGAGGTGCCTGCAGGAAGCAGCTTGCAGAGACTCCCTGGCCTAAAAGCCACTGCCAGAGGAGGGGCCCTCAAGTAACCTCCACCCCCTTTCCCCGCACCTCCATGTCCTCCCACACCTCTCCCTCCCTCCTGCAATCCCTTCCCTCATACTTTCTGTGCCAGAGCCTGCATTCTCACACCCTCCTTAACCTTGCTCCAGAGCCTGCCCCCCCCAGATCCCCTCCCATACCCACATTTCCTCCCAGAGCTGAGCCCAACACCTCTCACCCTCCTGCACCCAAACTCCCTCCAGGGTCTGTAAATATTTACTCATCAACAACCTCCCACCCCTTCCTGCACCCCAATTCCCTGCCCAGCCCATAGCCTGTGCCCAGCACCCAAACCTCCTCCCAGAGCCTGTGTCAGGTAGGGGAGGGAGGGAGTTTGGGTGAGTGAAGGGTGTGGGCTCTGGGCATCACTAACATTTCTGCAAATCTGCCACTCCTGCACATGGCAGCTACAACTTCCCACTCATTCACCACCAGTGTGAGGTACTAAGAAGGGAGGAAATTATCTGTGTGATATAACTAGCAGAGGGGCTGCTGCCCTCTCCACACAGACAAGGAGGAAAAGGAGAAAATCTGAAGTGTGGAAAGCTAATGACTTGGCAATATGAGATGATGCTGTCCATCGTGGGCACAGCTGGGGTTATACAGTCAGGCACTGACGGGTGGGTTATGCATCACTTCTAGACAGAGGAAGCTCAGCCCAAGATTCTGAGACCAAGAACAGTTCAAATCCCAAATAAGGCTCCCCACCCGCCTTTATGCGATGGCGGCCATCTTGGCCAACATGGTGCTGAACTAGGGACCTTCTGAGGTAAAATTAAGAGTTGCTCTAACTTGAACCAAAATGCTGGGCTCTTCTAGACTTGTGTTCTCTTTGGATCAAACACAGCAGTGGACAAAGAACACAGGGATCAGATTGCCTACATAAGCTTGTAACCTGACTCCTATCTAGGTATGTTATGTGCAGGAGGGTTATCTGACCCATTATGGGTCAGTAATTAGAACCACACATTCAGTATCCATTAGAACTGAGAAAACAACAGCAGGCTGGCTAACACCAGGTAGAACGTAAGAACAGCCACACCGGGTCAGACCAAAGGTCCAGCTAGTCCAATACCCTGTCTTCTGACAGTGGCAAATCCCAGGTGGGCCAGGGGGAATGAACAAAGACAGAGAATCAAGTGATCCATCCTGCATCATCCATTCCCAGTTTCTGGCAAACAGACTAGGGACACCATCCTTGGCCATCCTGGCTAATAGACATGGATGTGATCCTCCGTGAAGTTACCTAATTCTGTCTTGAAAGTCATCATTTAGGACTTCAAGAGCCCCTGGCAACAAGTACCACAGGTTAAATATATGTTGTGTGAAGAAATACTTCCTTCTGTTTATTTTAAACCTGCCGCCTATTAATTGAGTGACCCCCCCCCAATTCTTTTGTTATGAGAAAGTAAATAATGCTTCCTTACTCGCTTTCTTCATACCAGTTATGATTTTATAGGCCTCTGTCATATACCCCTTCAGTCATCTCTTTTCTAAATTTACCAATTCAAGTCTTTTTAATCTCTCGTCATATGGAAGCTGTTCCATCCCCTTTAATCATTTTTGTTGCCCTTCTCTATACCTTTTCCAATTCTAATGATCTTTTTTCAGACGGGATGACCAGCACTTCATGCAATAATCAAGATGAGTGTGTGCCTTCAGTTTACAATGGTATTATGATATTTTGTGTCTTTTCCTAATGGTTCCCAATCAGGGCCAGCCTTAGGCCGATTTGCCTGATTCCCCTGAATCAGGCCCTGCGCCTAAAGGGGCCCCGTGCCCTGAACCCGGAAGTGTGCCGGGCACCATGGGCGGCGAGTTAATATTCAGAGCCAGGGGCCCTGCTCCATCAATATGTGGAGCTGGGTCTCTCCCCCAGCTCTGCCTGAAGTGGGCCCTGGCCCATCCCTGCCGTGCGCGGCTCCTCCTCGCCTGCTGCTGCTCTGGTCTATCTGTGGCCAGCCTAATTGCACAATCTGGCTTGGGACTCCCGATGGGTGAAGCAGGAATCGGGCCCCAAATTCCTGCCCCTCCCGCCTTTGCCCCACCATTGCCCTCTCTCCCATGGCACCCATGCTCTTTGCATGCAAGTCAGCCACTTTGTCACAGCTTGTTAGGAGCTTGTCTCGGGAGCTGGGAAGAGCTCTGATTTCCATGCGCAGAGGCCTTCTGTAAAAGGGCTGCTTCTCCCAGGATGTCCCTGAAGAAGAGGGGAGCTGTCAGCTTTGTGCGTTCTCTGGCACTATCCCTTACTAGAGAACAGGGTTGCACTATTCTCACTGGAAGTAGAGGCCTTGTGGTGTCCAGAGAGAGGGGATTCCCTGAGGGACCCACAGTGCGAGACAGGTTTGCTAAAGGCTCGAAGAGGTGCAGTTCCAGGAGGCGGAGGGACTTAACCCCTGAGCGAGAGTGGCCACCTGAGAAAGTCTGTCCCATTGAAGGGCATTAACCCCAAGGACTGTACAGGGCCAAGAGTGGGCACCACCTGTGAGTCCGTCACCCAAGCTCTCACATAGAACTGGTAACAAAAAACAGGACTGTGTAGCACTTTAAAGACTAACAAGTCTTGTTAGTCTTTAAAATCTTGTTAGTCTTTAAAGTGCTACACAGTCCTGTTTTTTGTTTCAGCTGCACCAGACTAACACGGCTACATTTCTACCACTACAGAACTGATAAGAGACAGAGCTTGGACTGCCCCCTCCAGGATACTGCTCTGAGGCTGGCTTTGCAAGTTGTTGTTCTCAAGGCTGTCTCCCCAGAAGCCACAGATAAACAGAGAGAGGGAGGAGGGCTTTCCCTCCTCCATGCCAGAAATCCTTGCTGATATGTATTGAAGGTGCTCACGAGATCTTTACATCAAAAGAGACTGGATGACTTGCAGTGGTATTTATCCATCATAGAATCATAGAATACTAGGACTGGAAGGGACCTCGAGAGGTCATCGAGTCCAGTCCCCTGCCCTCATGGCAGGACCAAATACTGTCTAGACCATCCCTGATAGACAGTTATCTAACCTACTCTTAAATATCTCCACAGATGGAGATTCCATAACCTCCCTGGGCAATTTATTCCAGTGTTTGACCACCCTGACAGTTAGGAACTTTTTCCTAACGTCCAACCTAAACCTCCCTTGCTGCAATTTAAGCCCATTGCTTCTCGTTCTATCCCCAGAGGCCAAGATGAACAAGTTTTCTCCCTCCTCCCTATGACACCCTTTTAGATACCTGAAAACGGCTATCATGTCCCCCCTCAATCTTCTCTTTT